TTCTGTGGGAATCAACTCTTCTCCTTCCAAGGTCGGAACATCTAGACTTGCTCCGAGCGGTGTCCCAAAGGGATATTATAGTCCAGACAAGCCATTATCTGCTGTGAGGGAGGAGTCTCTGGAAAGAAGTCGAGATGGGGAAATGAACCCACCAACTCCACCTGTTATAAGTAGAGAAGCCCTATAGACTTCTTCCTTTCTTGGAATGTAAATCTGACATCAATTACATGGGACGATCCATAGAATTTTTTAACAGAGCCCTCAATAGGTCATGCTTGCGTCTTTCTTATAAGCAATTTTGATATCTTCATTGCTTACCTCTTTCATTGTGTAAAGCAAACAATCAATAATATGTGAGATGATTGCAGAAAGCATTTGGGTGCTAGTCACGTGAGACCTAGATGAATGGTTATAGCTTATGCAGCCTTCTTTTTTCATCCCTCGCCTGTATGCTGCTTTACTTGGTTACGTCCAGTATCAGCCAATGGTATCTTCTGGTTGGCGGCTGGCAAACTTCATCGAAGAGTCCACTCAAAAAAAATAAAAAAGCGCTGTGTCTGCTCATACGAGCCCTTCTTCATCTATCCAAATCTAACCATGTCTAGATGTTAGTGTCACTAGTATAAGCCAGAAAGCAAAACCGCTTGTGCAGGCTAGCCTGACAAATTTTGATCTGTGTCTGGGATGCAAGGGGAAAATTTTTCAGTGAATGTTGTTGCATTCGATTTAACCTTAAGGAACAAATTCCAGATATTGATAAATTAAGGAAATCATGTTGTTACGAGTTGGGAATTTAGTTTTAGTCACTTTTTAGCCGTTGCCTTGGATTAGTTGGACGGAAGCTGCTTGTAGTTTACCTTTGAGTCTATTATTAACAATGAAAAAAAAACCGGACCGAACCGGCCGGTTCAACCGGTGAACCGGCCAGTGGTCCGGTCCGGTTAAAGCAATGAACCGGTCATAAAATGAACCGGCATCAACCCGGTCAAACCAGGATAAACTGGTGCAAACCGGCAAAAACCGGTAATGAACCGGTTTGAATGATATTTTGCTATTTATCTTATTTTTTCTTATTCAACTCCTAATATTTCAATCACTATATATTTAAATGAATTTTAATAATAATTTTGGTATTAATAATTATTAATTTTAGTTATTGAGAAATCATAAAGATCAAAATCCTTAATGTTATTGTATTTTGTTTTAATTACAATCAAATTATTGTTGTATTTTCTTACATTTTGTTATTAGTGATTATTAATATTGCTATACTTTGTTATTTTTAATTAAATTGTATCATTTTAATGTGACCGGTTTGACCCCGATCTGACCCATTGACCCTTGAACCACTACCTCAACCGGTTTAGTGTCCGGTCCGGTTTTTTGTTCATTGATTATTAAAATTATTCAACTGATGGCAGAAAAGATAGAGGGGATGTAATATCCTAAAAATAAAAAAATAAAAAAAAAAGAAAAATAAAATAAAATAAAATAATAAAATAATATTTTATTATAATATTTAAAAAAAATAAAAATAATATATATATAAGTCAACTTTCCACCGAATTCGGTGGAAAGTTGACGTTGCGTGTGGAATTTTTGGAGGGGGTTGCGGTAGAATTCAACCCCCTCAATAAATGTTAGGTTGTTAAATACCCCCCTCCCCCAAATTCTTTTCCGCATCAGACGCAAGGAGGAAAGAGAGATAGAGTGGGTGAGGAACGAGAGAAAGAGAGATAGAGTGGGAGGAGCATACCGGTAGAGGAGGAAACAAGCTTTGAAGATATTTTAGGTACATAAAATTACTTCTTTTTATCAAACTTTCTTTATAAATATTTCCTGTATATTTTAAGCTTCCTATTTATGTTATTACTATAGTGATTAGAGAAAATTTTGAGACTTATATATGATATAACTATTGAGTTTTGACAAAAGATGACTATAGAAATTTAGAAGTAAATGAGTTGTTAATTTTAATTGGTTTAGATTTCTCTATTTGCTAGTTTTAGTATTTAAAATTAATTTATTTAGTGGAAAATCTGTTATGTATGAGATATACCATATTTTTACCGATTAAATTTAAGTTAAATAATTTATTTGGGTTGTTTGATATATTATTGAGGTTTTAATCGGGTTAGTTTTATTTATTGGGTGACTGGAGGTTTTAAAATAATTATTGTAGCTAAAAAGTTTATTATTTATGGAAATATATATATGGTAGTTATACCATTAAAGTTTTGATCATATTATTTAGTTATAAATATTTGAAGTATTATTATTAAATTTTTGAGAGTTTGATTTTGAGGTTTAAACTTAAATGAGGATTTTTAGAGTTTATAATATAATAATTTTATATTTGGAAATTGTTGAAAATCCTTTTTATTAAGGTAAATAATTTGGAGGTGGTAAATAAATAATTTGGGTTGTTAGAAATTTTAAGTTGTTTCTAAAATACTTAATAATTTTTGAGTTATGAGAGTTGAGAGATTTTAAAGTAAAATTTAATTAAATCAGGAATTTAAATAATATAGAGAAGTTTAATTAATTAATTAATTAGTTTATATTAATATGTGGTTATATTAATTGTGTAGATTAATTATTGGTTGAGCAAAGGATTGACCTTGTGGTAATCCTTAGTATTGCTTTGGCGAGAGGTAACCACTTTCCACTTGTTATATGTGCTAATATGTTGTTTGTGAGTATTTTTCTGTTTTTAGAATAATATTGGATATTTGGAACTTGAGTAGATATGTTATATCTTTTGAGCTATGAAAATTGTCTTGTGGGATTTTTGGAATTGTGATTGAGAAGTTTGGAAAAGATATATGATTTATATCTTATGGATTATACTGAGAAAAGATTGAGACATTTTTATTATATTGTGAATGATTGGTTGTTATTTGGATTTTGGGATTGAGTCCTATCCTACCACGTGGTAAGGCCGCCATTGGTGCACATTGGTTGGCTTCTTCTTTCGTCCCCCATAGTGAGGGATAGGCCTTTGTGGCTTCTTATTCGTCCCCCAAAATGAGGGATAGGCCCATATGGTTGATTGATCCCCCAGAGTGAGGGATAGACTTATGTGGCTTGTGTGTTGGCCCCCATAGTGAGGGTTTGGATGATTGAAATTATATTTCTATGGATATATCTATAGTTCTCGAGAATTTATAACTGTCCCACTTGACACCTCACGAGCACGTGTTAGTATGTATGATGAGTTGGAAAGTTGGTTACTGAGGCATTTGTCTCACCCCGTGGTTTAACATTTTCAGGCGATAGTTCCGGTGGTGGCCCATCAGGGAAGGCTCCGGAGGCATAGTGTGTTGTTATAGCTTGTATAGCCTCCCTGCTTTTGTTCTATGTGTTGACTTGTTATATATTGCCACATAGGGCTCATCTACTATCATGATGTAAAATAATACTTTTAATTACTACTATCTGGTATGATAGGGCCGTGAGGAGGTCCGAGACATTTTAGACTTTGCATATTACACTGATTTGATAGTGTTGATTTTTCACTAATGGGCTCTATGACTTATATTAAAATGTTTTATCAGTTCGTGTGTTTGAAAGTGTAAGTTTGGTTTGGGCTAACGGTTGAATGATATTTCTGGACTTTGAAAGTCCAAGGCCCAAGTGAACGATTGATGTGGCTCGTAATATAAGTTTATTTCTTTTAACCATGATAGCGATTTTAAAATTTTAAGGTTTCTTCTTTTCTATCATGGTTAATCATTCAAATAAATTGTTGGATTTAATCTAAAATGGTTTTGAAAGAGCGGTTGTCACAGGGGACAGCGAAGCCAGCTCAGCCTTGAGAACAACCTTATCATATGAGTCAGTTTGGTGCAACAAAGAATTGAGAGCGGTTTATGTGTAGAGCTTGGCACTTGTTATAAACTCCTCACTTAGTGTACACTATAAAATGAGTTTTATATTTAAAATTAAAAAAATATAAAGTAATGAAGCATACGACCCCACTGAGACGATGGTATTATTGTATATGATTATATTACAATAAGAGGGAGTGAATAATGATGGAAGAGAGAAAAAGAATGTGGGAGACACAGGACATACAGCAGATTTTTTTTTGGTTTTTTGTTTTGGTAGGCATAGTTATCTTCTTATTAGATGTAATCCTGTTCGAAACATTATCAGGCACTAAATATAGACCACTCTTTTAACGGGAATTTAAATTTTAATTTATCATGTTATAATAAATTAGTCTTTTTTGCTAAATCAAAATCCTATTAGTTGGATTGGATGGATGGAGGCAGGTGAGATGTGCCCCATCATCAACATCACTCTGTCTTGTTATTATCCATGCTGATGTGATGTCTCCTCCATTTCCATCTCGCCTCGCCTCTGTCCACGATTCATCAACGTGAAGATAACCTATCAAATTCTTACTGTTCCCAGTTTATGATGTGCATTGCTTTGCTAAATCACACCCTCGTTTCATACATACATGCATCCACATGAACAACCCACTCTTCACAAAACTTATCTACCCTCCTTACTCCTTTTTTTTTTTACGATGATAAAAGAAAGTAGCAAAAACTACTCCACAAGAAACAAAAAGTGGCCGTCAATATCATGGCAGATTTTTAGGACAGATCGAAGATTCGAAGTAGTGGCGTCTTCTGGTACTATGTCATGTAACTTGAATAATCTTCTCTGTCCAAATTATCATATTCATCCGGCTCAAAACAAAGATAAATATCAAGTGTGGGTCCTTTTCATTATACAGATTCCTTATCAATCTCAAACATGAACCAGATTTATTTAGCCAGGCGATGTCCAACCCAAACAGCCAAAACATTCACCATCTCCCACCGTTTTGACCTCCCGCCGTTCTTATTCCAACTAATGTTTCTACTTTCTACTCACGAGATGGATTGAAAAAAAAAAATGAAAAATCAGGGAAACAAATATATATAAAATATGAAGGGGAAAAAAAGAAGAAAAAGGTAAATGAGATTAGTGCCCGCAGGCTCGGCATGCTCTCAGTCTCTAGCACACATCGCCACGTCACCACTCAGCATATTGATATTGGTAAGTGGGGGAATGCATGACGATTCAAGGGGCGGAGGAGCATACCAAAACCCCTATTAATGCCGCCCACCTTCACCTCGCGTCTTCCATAACACTGCTTCCCTAGCAGTCCCATACTCCCACTCGCTCTCGCAAGAACTGGCTAACTCCCAAGCAAGAGAGGAAGACAATGATTCCAGCCGTAAGAAGCTGGTTTTGACTCTGTACGACGCCCTCAACTCAGGCGACTCTGAAACGGTGGTCGGGATTGTGGCCTCCCATCTCGAGTGGTGGTTCCACGGTCCTCCTTCCCATCAGTTTTTGATGCGCTTGCTCACCGGTCATCCCTCCTCCAGCCACACCTTCCGCTTCCTTCCGCAGTCTATCGCATCCTTCGGCCCCACCGTCGTGGTCGAGGGGTGCGACCCTTCCCGCTCCATCTCCTGGGTCCACGCCTGGACCGTCGCGGATGGGATAATTACCCAAGTAAGGGAGTACTTCGACACTTCCCTTACCGTCGCCCGCTTCGGCCATTCCAATTCCTCCGATGACTCCCTCTGGGAGAGCACCGTCTCCAACCTCGTCGGCAAATCCGTGCCGGGACTAGTGCTGGCCCTTTAACACTGTAATCACGTCCGTCCGGCCATTAGTGACAACTACTAATTAAGACATACGAATCCGGGACTTTGCTCTCAACTACGATACAGGGAAACGGGAAAGGCGATTCTCGGTGCCCTGGTTATTTAGAATGTACTTTGGTCATTATAACTTTGTATCTATATATTGCTGTGGCCTGTGCGTGAGAGTGATTATGTTTGGAAACGTGATTGGTATATCCCGGTGGTCGCCCGGGAACATCTTGTATGATGATGATGATGATGCTGTATTGTGGTATTTTGACGAAGCAATAAGACAAACGTTTCTACGTCCCGAGTCCTCCTTGTTATGCGCATCCTTACTAATGATGTCTAGCTCTTGTTAGCTTGACGCTCCCAAGGCGGTCGTCTCGTTGGGAGAAAATAAAGACCGGTGCTGATTCCAGCTCTTGTTTTGCATTTCCCCCCTTACAACCATACTGCTGCTTTTTTTACCAAAAGAAAAAAAAACTCATACTGCTACTTAAAATCTAAAAAAATGATAAAAAATTTAAAATTATTAAATATTAAATAAGGTATAGTAACAATACTTTATTTAATGTTGATAATACTAAATTTGCAGATAGTAACAAATTTTTGTTGGTATTTCTTATTTGATGTTTAGGGGGTGTTTGGATAAGATCAAAACTATGGTTTTAGAAGTGCTTTTACAGTATACGAAACAAATATGTGAAGGAGATTGTCTCGATTTGCAGAAAAGTGCTTCTGAAAAGTGATTTTAAGGGCATCCAAACACCCCCTAGTCATTTTTAACCTTTTTTTTTAATCATTTTTCTTAAAATCTACAAATCTATTATTACCTTGGTTTAATTTTGATATCATCTTCAGTCCTTTTTTGCCTCCGTAATATTACTTCTGATCCTAATTATAAGAGTTAGTTGACTAATTTGAGAAAATTAAGAAAGTAGTTGAGTTAGTTATTTATCATAAATAGGTGTTGTCTTTACTAAAATATCGTTACTAATCAAGTATATTGATTAGAACTACCATTGTTAAAAAGACTATTTTAGGAAAAAATATATAAATATGAGAGACAAAATGAATTGGGATCTTATATTTAGGATTAAAATAAAAGTCAAACAAAATTTTATATTAAGGATGGGGTAGTATTAATATATAAAAACCAGGCGGCGGGTATATATAATTCTAGCTAGGATTAATTTTTTTAAAAAAATTAAAAATCTTGAACCTTTATGTAATGACACATTTTATTTGAGTATTATCTACATGAAGTCATGTCATTTTTTTAACCATCTCGGAAGGTTTTTTCACCTTCTCAATGATTACATATATTCTAATTAATAGATTCCATCAATGAATTGTGTTACTATTTGGCCATGTTCATTACTTGCCTTTTATATTTATATATTTATGAAAAAAACGTAAGACGAATCCATGCGAACTCTAACCATATTAGTATTTGTTTTTAAATAACAAATATATTAGACTGAGAACATTGACAAGAGCATGCATGAGGTGGTTGTTTGAATTGTCCAGACTCGCCCTCAAGCTGGAGGAGGACAGCTGCCGGCCCGCGCGCCTTGGGAGATTTCCACCGGTGCAGAAATTCCGAAGGACCACTGCTTCGCGCAATTAATAGTTAAGGCTTCCCATAAATGAAGAGCGCGAGAACGAGATCATAAGATAGTACTCATAATCAAACACGTCCATCATATTCTGCCATTACTGCCATAAACTAGTTTTTTTCCTTCGACTTGTTATGAAAAGATGCATCAATCGCTAATGACATGGGAATTGGTGTGGTGTGATTTGCTTACTTGTAACCAGCTTTCTCCCCATGCTACATCGCTACTATACGAGTGTCGAGGAAGGAATAATCGATACTTCATTCCTGGATTCCCTTATTTCTGCGTATTTGCAAGTACGGGATAATGGTTGCATTTGTATCAACCATATATACTTCGGAAAATTACTAGTTCCTATTTTAATTCCATAGTTCGTTGATATATGAATAGGTAGCTTGATTTCACTTGAACAATGCTTGTTAGTTTCAAATCTTGTAGTAGAGGCACACAAGTTAATTTCTTTAGATCTAAAATGAATCCTTCGCCCTTTTGGTTACATAGAAATTTATTAATAATTCAACTCACATTGCACCATCCTAGAGGCTTCCTGGCGTGGCGATTCATTCTCATAGTACGTAGTAGGGGACCAAGTTATCTACCTTCTCGTTGGTCCTTCCTCCATTCCCATGGCTTCTCAGGATTTGATGAAGCCCATAGTCCGACCCGCTTTGCTTTAGCTTCCTTTTCCCACTATAATAACACACAATATCTAATAAGGAAACACACAATGCTACTCCCAATTAAGATTTTAAAAAATTGGCAAAGCACAAGTTACTGACTATTTCAAATTCCTTCCTCTTGTCATAGGCTGCATAATGCCATGCGAGTCCCTTCTTTAGCATCAACTCCTTGTCAATCAGCCAAAAAGAACAAGAAAATTAGATTAGTTTTGAGTTCAACAAAGCTTAAGCAAGCTAGATTGGGAGTAAGGTGATACCTGTACAAAAAGACCATTGCAATAAATATCACCCACGGAACGTCCATAACGATCCTCATCATAAACGAGGACCTTCAAGGGCTTCCCTTGAACAATTTTTGTCAGCTCGTTTTTAGCTTCTTTCCCATATGGCATTTTGCCCTCTGGCGCATCAATTCCCCTGTTTTATTTTCTCTCTCAGAATATACATTAATTATTAGCATCCACCCACAACAGCAGCTTTGAAGCTTCTAATCAATTTATATCTGAGGATTACCTTAGTCGAATTCTGTACTTCCGTGCAAGGACTTCCCCATTTTGAAGATTAATCACCCTAAACAAGAAACTTTTTCAAAGCTTATTTCCAATTATAAACATAGACAATTAACATTAGAAAACTATAACACCAACCGATATCCCGAATCAATAATTTGCTGGTGAAGGGCATCGGCCTCTGCATAGTTTCTTTGAGCACGAGCTCCCGATCTTTGAACTGCTGCTGCGTGGACATGACTAGGGACAAAAGATGACTCTCTAGGGTCTGCTGTGCTCACATAAACTGTTATAGTATCACCATCCGCCACAGCTTTTGCATCAACCTAGTTTCATTGATACAATCACCTAATTGAAATACATGTACTTGCCTCTTAATTTTGTTTTGCATTAAAATGATGTTCCTACCGGCAAGGTGTGTAGTTCAAATTGTACCCCCTCTGGCAAGGAAGTAGGGGGTTTAAAAGTTGCTTCGACAAGGTCATGTGGTTGAGGAAGACCATAAAAGGCCAACAATCCCTATAATATTAAGCAAGCAAAACTATTAGTACGTGTTCTTAGAGCGCCCTATAAAATTTTGGGGAAAAAGATTTTTGTACCTCAACATCAGCCTTTTGATGTCTTTTTAGAGTCTGAATAATGAGTCTAGCTGCTTCCTCAGGGGTTTTGGGAGGGGGTCTTGATTCCTTCCATGCATCTATTAGTTTTCTATACCTGCAAATTTTGTGAAAAGCATATTAATTGTTATATTTCTTCCTTTCGAGTTGAAGTAAATGATGTTTACTTTACCAGTTAGCTTGCGCCTTCTTTGATGACACAACATGCTTGCTTAGTCCTTCGGGGACCTTAACAAGTGAGAGGAAATATAGTGAGAACTGGCGTTAAATTTTGAAACGACTCACTTTATATTGTTTCCAAACATCAAACTTGCAAACTTCTATGCAAAAAGCAACGATACATTAAAATCTAAAAGTGAGATTATATCAAAGAGTTAACTGAATTCACCAATTATAACCAACATTTTGAAATTATCAGAATTGGACCGGTTGACAAAGGACCTCAAACCATGCTCCTTTCAGCTCATTCTTCCAAGTTTATCAGAATTGGAATTTGATGTATCCCCAAATTATAGTGTTTCATGAACCAAGTGTAGCCTTCCCATGATTCTACAAAATTAATTTGGACGCGAGAGAATTTTGCTTTTTCCAAACTTTTCTTAATTTCTTTTGGCATTTTACTACTTTTCTCTAGCTGGACTAGGCTAGATTAAAGAGTTTTAGAAGTCTGAGGGGTCAAAAAATTTCGGCGAGCTAGTAGAATGAATTCGAAAGGAAATCGAAGAAAGCTCATGATGGTCTAAAATATCCGGAAAAAGAATGAAAAAGGCGATTATATAGTGAAAGGGAGGAGATGAAAGGAATCAAGAAACCTCAGAGGTGATATCAAAGTGGAAGAGATCTTGGGCAAGAGCGGATACGCCGACGGTGGAGGAGGAAACTCCGTGAGGGCCAAGTGAATCGGAGTCACCAGCTGCGGTGGACTCGCCACAATAGCTGTACAGAAATCGCAGAGCATTTCCCATGCCTCTCCTCCTGATTCGATGTCGCAGGTCAAGCAGCTAAGTCCGTCTCACGGATCAAGCAGGAGGGCCATTAAACAACGTGTCGCTTTTGGATGAAGATATTAGCTTTCGGACTCGCCAATGTGGGGAGCAAGAGATAGGTGGCGGGTTATGATTGGTCGTAGGTGGATTCACCGTGGTTTATTTCTGCGGATAGAGATGGATCTACCCAGAGGTGAAATTTCTACGTCAACGATTTGGCTTGCGTTGAGGTGAATAAGGGAATCCACGCTCCATTTCCTGAGCGTGGGGAAAGTGAACTCTCCTAAATATCTTTTGGCGCATTTCGCTGCTTGGTTGCGAGAAGCTCGTACTCTGTTCCGGGATGCTAAATTCTGGTGCGTGCTTCAAATGTACCAGCCATTACCCTTTCCCCTCATTTGCTTTTTTACTGTGGAAAAAAGGGGATAACCACAATTTTGCCTAAAAACATCCAGTTTCTGGTGAGTCTGCCAATACACGAAATTTTCGAGCATGATTTGCAGCCTATAACTTTGAATACGGTTTATTTTTGCAACCAAATTTGAAGTGTAGGACCAACTTTTTATTATTTTTGATCCCTTGTGTTAAATTAACCAGGGCTGGATGATTCTCACTCGTATGAGGGAGGAAACAAACAACGTTTTAAGACGATGGGGTTATTCGGAAGCCTCAAACCCCTGACAATGTTTACTGTTTTTTGTACTGGCACTGCTATTAGCGTATTAGTTTCTTTTCACTTCGTTCAATCGAAGAACAAGAGGAAAAAAGGCTTTCTTTTTTCTCCACCCATTAAAAAAAGAAAGTCTTTCTTTAATGTTTGGGGTCACTTTAATTCATGAGGAAGGAACTACAAAGCATGTGGCCACCAATGAGGGGAATAATTGACGCGGTCACTACCCTCCAGAAGGCATAAACTATGACCGAAAGCAATATTGCCCGCAATCATGGCCAAAGGACCTAAGTGAAAGCGTTGGAAGGCGTACCAAATACCAATCATGCGCCTTGTCACTTGTCACCCTTACTCTTTATCATAATAAATTTAGATCTATTCGATGTTCTCTTTACACCTCTTTATATTCAATCTTATTTACCTATTTAATCATTCATTTTATTTAAGGGGCATATATGTACACCTATTTTGAAAAGCGAAGTGAATATGTATTGAAATCTTTATAGCTTTGCCTGATGTTTAATAGTCCTTATAGTTGTTTTTTTTTTGGTAGCAATCACCTGAAAACTTGATTAAAATTTAAGCGCCCTCAATTAAAAATGGGGTAACTGCACATTAATTTTTCCCAAGTAAAATGATACTATAAAGACAATTTTTCGTTTGATCATGGAAGCCATCTCTTTCCCACCACAACAGCAGAGTCAACATCCCACGAATTCCCAGAAAGGCTGTAAGAGTGAGAATGCAGCCCCCCTTCTCTTGCCTCCACCCTTATTTTTCCCTTCCTCTCGTCCTATGTTGTATATAATAAATTGTACTCCTCCTCCCCCTCAACACTCACCTCATCCTCTTCGCTCGCTTTCTATTTGGTCCTCAATTTACCACCAATACCAATCCCCCCCCCCGGCTTACCATCTCTATTCTAGACATGACCAACGTAAGTGCTCATTACCTCCCCTTCTTGCTATTTCAATTTCTTTTGCTTTTTTTCTCTCCGTGTCGTGATGGAATTGAATGAAAACTTGTATTTATTGTGTGTCGATCGCAAGGTGGTGGAAGTGAAAGTCGGTTTGCACTGTGACGACTGTATCAAGAAAATCCTCAAAGCCATCAAGAAGATCCAAGGTACGTGCTGGTCCATCCTACTTCCCTCAGGATCTAAATTAATTATAACAGCTTCCTGCTTCCTTGTTGGTCACAATAATTCGAATTCTTGGTTTAGCAGATATTGAGACCTATAACGTGGACACGCAGCTAAACAAGGTCACCGTTACAGGAAACGTCACAACGGAACAAGTCATTAGAGTTCTCCACAAGATTGGAAAGAACGCCACCGCCTGGGACCAATTCACGTCAAATTGAACCCTCAACGATCAACTCTCAGTTCTATATTACAAATGACTCTGCAGGCGCGACATGATACAATCAGTGAAAAATCTGTAGTAGGCACTAGTAGTATCTTTGAAGAGATTAGATGCACATAATCCTGCCATCTTTCGCCTTCTTCAGCAGGATACCGTTATAATATTCAGTTTTTACCAACATAAAAAGGAACTTGACTTCATTCAGAGTCTTAACGACGGCCAAGATCAAGCTTGTCGTTTTATTTAATGCTAAATACAGGTAATACATCAAGCGGAGAAAAGAAAGGCCGAGATGAGAGTGTCACTGTACAGACGGGGTTGAGAGCGAGGGCTCCGAGAAAGAAGAGTCTACCTCGGCTGCTGAATGGTCCGCGGACTGACCATCCTGACCTTGGCAATCTTAGGAACCTTCTGAGCATACCTCGGTAGTTCTGCCCAGCCCGAATCTCGTCGCCATTTCAACGCCCCCATAGTCACCAATTCCCTATGATACTTCCCAGCCGCCTCCTCCTCCTCCTCTAATGCATTCTCTGCACCACGTTAAAAAAAAAAAAAATTAAGGTGAATGAAAAAGGGAAGATGAAAATTGAGAACGAGAAGGGAGAACTTACGTGAGCATAGTTGAAATAGAAGTTGATCGTCAAAGAAAGCGTTCTGATGGGGATCTTCCAGGGCTTGGGGATCTTGAAAGCACTCGCGGAGCCAGTAGTGGCGGAAGCAGGGGGAAGAATGGACGAGGTGCCACCACTGATCGGAGAAATCCTCCACAGTACGGAAGAACATTGGGACGAACAAGGGGGCGTTTGGATCCAGGGGGGAGGAGGTTATTGTGGGAGCTGAAGACATGACCACTTCCATGGCTGCTTGGGGTTTCGGAAAAGATGTGGGTGATGATTGTCCGAACCAAAAGCCTCGCTTTATACAAGAGATGGAGCCAACCAAAGGGGCTCGGACTTGTCTTTTACTATTACCAACATAACAATCCCCACCGGATTGTATACCCACTGTTTTAGGCTAAACCGCTAGCCGTTGATAAACCGATATATGGATAAATCATTTTTCGTTTTACATAGATAATTTTATTTAAAATTTAATAATTTTTTAATTTTATCCCTATTTAATATATATTATACTTTATATAAATAAAATTAATACAATAATAAATTAGGGGTAAAATATTAAAAAAATTTCTCAGTATCTTATAAATAAGACAAAAAAATCTTTTCTTTACTTTATAAATAAGACTATAAGAGTAACAAGTTTTATTTCTTTAATAAAAATATTTTTATAATTACTTTAGTAGCAGTATATATTTTCAGCATCCCCTCCGATTTTTTTCTCAAGTAAGATTAATAATTTAAATCTTGTGAATAAAAAAAAATAACAATGAGTGTAATTGGCAGCACCGGGCACATACCATCCTTCAACACACGGAAAACTTTAAATTTTGCGACTCATTTTAACGTATTTTATGTAGATTTAAAATTTATCAACTTTTTAATTTTATTTTATTTAATATACAGGTAACTAAAATACTTTCCCCGCTGTTAGGTGTGCCAGCACGTGCGTCAGGAACAGCATATGGCAATTATGGATGTCGATCCTCATCCATGCAAACAAGGTTCCACGCCAGTTTATTCGCTCCTCATCGTCAATGCCGGGGTCACTCCCTCACTCGCCCACTCGCCCCCGCATGCTCCGGCACTTGCATTCCTCACGAGTCATTTGATCTCCTGGCTCTATGAAATGGATCACATGGGGTTTTTTTTTTTTGATCTGAAAGATCACATGGGGTTTATATCTTGTGTTTCCACAACGTATTCCTCCTACAATCTTTAATATAAAACTTATTTAGTTAATTTAATTAAATTTAAAAAGTTAAATAAATTAATTAATTATAAAAAATATAACATATTTCATTTTTTTTAATATTCTTCCTTTCTCTTCTACTTGATATAGTTGAGAAAGTATTTATAGAAGCAATTTAGAAAAAAATGATAAATATGATAAATAAATTTTATATTTAGAATCAAAATCAACTTAACAATTAAATCTTATATTAAAAACCAGATAAATATTTTATTTGATATATATCATCGGTTTCTTTTTCTTTCTTTTTTGCCAACTATATATCATCACTTTCTTAACTTAATTCAATTTTAAAATTGATTTTATCCATTATAAATTATATCTTAACTTGATTACTTTTTACTATCATAATAAAAAAAATCTATTTCATTTTCAAGCAATTTTTTAAACTATCCGTATATACGAGCACTCAATGAAGTCAGGATAAATTTCCAGTACGGCCCCGCCAATGCAAATTGCCACCAGGCCCTTTTATGAGATGTTTAATAAGATTCTCTTTTGTATGTATTTCTAATAAAAAAAATATGAAACCAGGGTACAAAGTACTATCATCGTCAAAGGATGTGCCACTCGAATACACAGATATTAGCAATTATTGTTGAATCCACCGCTGAAACTCTTCCACCAACAAGCCCATACAAAAACACCCCCCCCCCCCCAAAACAAAAAAACCCCTGGACCGGCGCAAAATCGAAAAATAAATGAACAACCTAAGTTCCATATCCCAATGAAGCCCTAAAAAAAAGTTCCATATCCCAAAGCTTTCTATCTTTGAACATCAGCAAGACAAATCGTCGTCACTAGGAAACGGCTTGCTTACTTGATATCATGGAATGCCGGCAACACAGCAGCGAGAGGATCTCCATAACCAACCGCCTCTGTCATAAACAGCACAAAACAATGAGCAATGTATCGGTGATGCGTATTTTCCAAAACTCATCCATCGTCAAATTGAAGCCGTAGAACTATAAATGTAAAGCGTCAGTTGCGGTAACTCAGTCTCTCATTGCTTACTAGGTTTCATCATATCTCCTTGACGTAAAACCCTACTGTGGATACCAAAATATGGAAGCACCCATCAAGATGGTGGCAACCTGCCAACCTCTATGCACAATATCAGGTCAATAGTCCTAGATCCTGACAATGAGCTATGAATAAATCTATAGGACAGATCAACCCCAAAAAAAAAATCACAAATCTTTGCTACCTAGACAGAGTAACAGAATTAAACCATCAAAATCTGAGGGTTTACAACATTTCTACTCATTTAGCAGTAATTAGATAGCTCATGAAAACTGATATATCCACTGTGCCAGTGCAATCACACAAACCTTCGAGAAAATTAATCAGAGGTGAACGCAGCCAGTGGTAAGGTTTATACATTTGGTAAGTGAGCATTTTCACACTAGGATGCAATATACCCCATCCACGTACTGTGTAGTAAATATAATGCAGTGTAAAATAAAGGAAAACACAATAAAAAGGTAATTTTGAAGATGAGAAATGCTCTTTATGTCCCTGAGTAGAACTCATTGATAAAAAATACAATTAATATTGTATTTTCACACTAGGATGCAATATACCCCATCCACGTACTGTGTAGTAAATATAATGCAGTGTAAAATAAAGGAAAACACAATAAAGAGGTAATTTTGAAGATGAGAAATGCTCTTTATGTCCCTGAGTAGAACTCAGTGATAAAAAATACAATTAATATTGTACAATGAAATAGTCATAACAAAGGTAAACTAGATGCTGTGTTTTTTAAATTAAGTTGTGAAATAAGAATTCTTTTTTTTTTTCAGTAGAAAGTGGATTCATTGAACAAAAATTATGTACAGGGCATTTTACAGCTTGAATAAACTTGAGCTACTGTAAATGAAGAGAGTCAAAAGCAAAAGCCAAACAGAAATAAGAATTCTTTTCCTTGTTTGTTGTATAATAAGGTTTTAGTATCTTCAGTGTAGGGAAATTCAAGTTTCCCTTAACATGGCATGCCTATTAAAAATCTTTCAAACAAGAATGAAATATTTTGAATGTAAAATTCTAGATATCCAACAATTTCAAGATTTAATATGATCCATAATGCAAAACACACATCTGAAATAATGTACTATCTTGCATAACAACAGATAACGGACGATTTACTGAATAGCATAGAGAAGCTTCAAATTACATGAGCTCATGTCAAACAATTGAAGACGTTTTCAAAATAAAAGTTAATAGAAATTATACCTCCATCCTCATAAAGTAGCTTCAATACTTCTCCAGCCACATCAGACTGCAAAAATTCAAAAATAAAATCACCCAGCAGAAGTCGATATTTCTAAGGATCCACAACAAATTAGAAGACAGAGCACCTTGACAGGAAGTTCGGTGCCAAACTGATCCAAATACCCTATGACTTGTCCTTCTTTGATTATATCACCCTGCATATTTCAAGAACAAATGTAGACATTTGAGTTCATGCAGAAATTCAGGGACTGAATTAAGGAGCAAATGTGCGGAGAATTATGTTTAGGATGTTCATTCAAAGTGAGATCCTCCAATAAATTGACACAGCATGTCACATAAAATGGTTATCAAAATGAAAATATGCAGACCAACTGTAACAAGGAAAAAAAAAGCCGGTCAACGTTTTTCTAAATACCAAAGATGAAGTATTCAGCTTACCTGTCACAGTTCCCAAATAACTTTGCTAATTAGAGGGGGGGGAAATTGAAAAATACTGAAGCTACTGATATCATATTGTATAAACGCTTAGAACTACTAGCTTAATTACCAATAACAGAAATAAATCCACAAAATCAATGCAAGGAGGAAAAAAATGGAATAAAAGAAAGAAAGGAAAAGGCAAAAAGAGACGAAGAAGAAGCCTTCCTTTTTTACTTAGCAATATCTGTTATGTCCTGTAATCATTACTCAACAGTTTCGATTCTTTTTATTGCTTTTTTTTAAATTTAAAAAAAAGGCACGGACACAAAGGACATTCTTCATTCTCAAAATCATGTTTGTTTTTCATTTTAATTTTTTCAATTCATTTTGTGAACTAAATGGGCCTTAAGAAAATAGTGACACTCTGACGGAGTATGGGAAACGAAAAGCAAACCGTAGGTACCTCTTTACAGATAGGAGGTTGCCTCTTTCCTTTCACAGTCCTACCTCTTCGGAATGAGCCAACCTAAGAAGGGGAGCATAAAGGGGGAAGATACATATAAAATGATGAAAACTAAACATGGTCCCAGTCAAAGAAATGGTTGACTAGTAAACGTAGAGCCCACTGTAGTCATTAGTAATAGGTAACATACCGTCGGTGATGATATTAGGACAAAAGTATTGTTGCCAGAAGCCTCCAATGATGCCAACTTTGATGACTTCTCTAAGGAAACATTTACAAATGGACTATTTTTCTCTGAAGATGATTTTGGAGGAGGTGATGCAGGGGCTGATTCAACCACGGCCTGAGTTGGAATAGGTAGTGGTGTACCTGGTGAAACAATGGGCATAGGAGCTGTCGCTGCTCCGATGTTTCTCTTAAGATTCATTTCAAACTCTCCGACCTAACGAAATAGTAGTAAAATAAGGTCATCGACAAGATTATAGATATATGCGCATTTTCTAATGATCCGGGGCATTAAAAAAAATGTGTAGTTAGATAACAGTTGGTAATGTAACATCAAATAATATCCAGTACTTCGGTTTATGCTCAACATTCCAGTCACGTTATAAAATGAGGGAAAATTATATAAATATGACAAATCGAGATAGGAAATAAATCCCAACAGAAACATTCTCAAATTGGTCAGTTGCTATCGTGTATTTTGAGCAAACCGTATTTTTTATTTGACTTGAATTTTACTGAGTGCAACATATTCGAGGGCTATATACATTCAGCTAACTAGTCGCAGAACACAATTATTGAAGTGCAATAGCAATAAGCTACTATAACTTTTACAGAAGCAACGAACAAGAGAATAGAAGGTCACCTTTAATTTCAGCTCAGCAATTTCAGTCTCATCACAAACCTCTAATACTAAAGCCTGACCATAAGAAAAATGGACATGACACCAGTCAGCAAAACAAAACACGAGATGCAATAATAGATGGCAAGTAACTTCACTGTCAAATTGAAGAACTTCAAAAAATTCAAACGAGACCAAGGTAATGTAAATTTGATGGGCAGAAGGATGAAAACAGAAAGAGAATCAAAGTGGACCAACCATGTTTTGAAGAACCAAAGAGAAGTAGGAGTTTATAAGATTCACATTTCAACATGTCTGTTGATAAATACAATTCTGTGGTCTTGGACAAAAGTTGGCCATCACAAGAAAAAGTTACATTCTCTTCATTTCTTCTTGATGGAAAACAAAAGGTAGTTTTATTCATGAGCACATTGAGGTGTTAACCTACCAAGTTATATCATTTGTGAATAATACTTAACAAATATGAATATGAAGGTGCTAGTGAACTAAAGAAATTATGACCTCAAATCCATGAGGAAAGGTAGTTTGCAAGGGCTTTTTCTCTGAGGAGTCTTGTGAAGAGCTAGACAAAGAAGCTGTAACATCATAATGAAACTATCAGGTCTTGGAAGCTAAGAAAACAAACAACAAAAAACTGACCAAGCCATCATATGTCTTTCCCCCAACTTAATCACGTGGTCAAACCACTGGCATAGGTTTGAAGTTCAAAATTGATAAAAATTATAAAAGGCATAGGGGGCATATTATCCTGGATCTGAACATGCCAAAATCAACTTGTTACTAAGCCTTCCAAAACATATATAAATTGTGGGAGAAAATTCAACTTTTATAGATAAGAACAAAAATAAAAAGTTTAATATAAGAACAAAGAATGATAAGATTCACATCATTCATTCAACTTGATACAAGGAACAAAAATATAAATACATCGTCCTGCACAGAATAAAAATAACTTACCATCTAACTTGCTTGCTTTGATAGTTTCAGTTGATTTTGCACATGTTATTAGTGTTCGCTTCCACTTGAATTGAGAACTGAGGTGCTTCTCACCATTTGCCAACCATTGGAAGTTAAGTCCAGAGTTCCGTATGGCATTATGCATGGGAATTACATATGGCTTCTCAAGTGAGGATCGCACGTGTAACATGGTGTTTATGGGACCTGATGTCCAAAAGTAATAATTAAGACTTTGATTTCCATCACTTGCACAATGATCATACCAAGCAGCAACGTACATTTGCCAAAAAGACAAAAAATGAATTCATGACTATACATTCTTGTAAAATCAGGCAGTCCTATCCAAATTGATGTTTTTCTGTAGATAGTAATTTAAGTGCTTGATAAGTGTATCGAAGGAGTGACAAGTCAAACTACACAAATGTGCGATTAATGCCACATATGTCAACTCAAAACCCTAAAAAACATGTAAATAGCCTTAGAATCAGGAATTAAAGTTTCTGATAAACACAGTAATTACTCAAGGGCAGAAGTAGCACCAATATTTTTTCAAATTGCACAGGTGATTCTAGGCAATGGAATCTTACTCAGTCCAGTCAATTGTTAGATGATTAGCCAGCTGCGCTAGCGACAAGCTATAGAGGAAAAATGAATGACCAATAACTTTTTGGAATAACACTTAAACGAAAAATATTCTGAAACATTCCTTTATCAGTCAAACAAAAATAAGCCTAGAAACTTTCAGTCTTGCTGGTTGTCGCCAATGTTATACTCCCAAATGTCAGTCAATCACCAGGTCAGATGTAAGGTGACAGCACCCGTCAATTACTTGAAGCGCCAAGAAGTCCAGGCAATGGCGCCTACTGTGGCCTAGAAAAACTATGGCTGAGTATCTGGTGAACAGTTGTTTTAACTTTACCCGCGCTCCAAAAAAATGAATAAAAGAAAAGAAAAGAAATGCGCAAAGACCCGCCCCCTAATTATAAACCACCATGCCCCCTCTAATCGGTGGTCCTCTTCAGCTCTGAGTACGATAACGTTTTAAGTCCTCTGTATCACAGCAAGAACCAACCTCTATTAGCATAGAGGTGAACCGGCAAGCTTTTCTTTGGATAGAATCTCCCGCCAAAGTCCAAACTGAAAAATCATAGCTGATTAACTGTGGGAGGCAATCCAACAGCATCGGTCGTGCATTTAGTTCAATAGCACAGCTGACATGCACCCAATCTCAAGCAACAAGCAGCAGCTTGCTGCTTCCTAAGGCTAAATGAAACACCAGCATTTCTTTGAACTACGGAACGGCAACCAAAAAAAAAAAAATCAAAACTGTTTGCAACTTTCGATATCTTGACATTATGCGATTTCAGTTTCCTTAGTACAGATCAAACAAGAAGAGAACCAAAACAAGCTCAAATCACGCATTTCAAAAAATTGCATTTAGCCTAACTCATTCATGCAAACACAATATAGAGAGAAGGGGAAATACGGTGAAAAGAACGGAGAGCAGCGGAGGACTCCATCGAACCGAGAACGAACAGAGGCGCAGAGATTGCGAATAGAGGGGGACAAATGGGGCGAGTAATGCAGTAGGAGAAGCTTTGGTTTAGAAGCAGAGAATAGGATTGCTACAGTGCTTTTGATTTTGATATCTTCTTCGAGATGTCCGCCTTTCTCTTCAGTTTCTCCGCTCTCAATTGGAGGTCCTTCTCACTAACATGCGCCGGGGGTTGTGTATCAACTTTCACCACAACTCTCCCTCGCATTTCCGCCTCCTTGTCATGTGTGGAGTCAAAATCTGAGCAGTTGGTCTCGTAAAAATGGAAGATTAGTAATTCATTAAACTATGTCATTTTAAAATAATTCTTGATAATTTAAAATGGATGGCTAAAATTAAATTGAAAAAAAACTAGCAGCTCAAATCTTCTTTTTTACTTAATTGAACGGAACATTTTTTTTTTGGTTTACGAAGGGAACATTATAGTTGACGGTAAAGTAGCAGCACAATTTTTAATAGTAGAGATTCAGAATCGTGTGATGTTGACGCACCGGAAGATTAATGCTCTAACAATAAGTACTTGTGTTGGTAAAAAAATATCAAGAAATGCATGAACGAGTTTGGGTTCAGGCTTCATGCTGAATGGGCTGGGGCTGATCCAGAAACTATGTGTTTGAATTGAGACACGTCAGAGTCATTGTCATAATTGCAATCGATAATCTGTCCTCGTGGGCTCTAATAAAAAATTTTAAAATTAGGCTCATGCAAGTTTCAAACCTTTCCCACTACTCCGAATCCATTTTTATACCATTTTCCTCTACCAAACCTACTTCACTTACTATATAGCAAACGTGACGAAAAGTGACAGGAATCAAGTAGGGAAGAGCAAAGCAGGGTATAATAATTAGGTGGACTATACATAATTAATGGTATTCCAGGCTGTCGAGATTTCATAATTGGCTAATTCAAGGCCAAGCCAATATAGAGAGGTTATAATTATATGGTAATGGGCATGCATGGCATCGAGGCTTGAAAGCTACGCCACATTGAGAAGGACCATCTCTCGAAACTGCAGCCTCCTAGTTTCGCTGTAGAAGGTCTTGTGTTTGTTTGGCCAATAAGTTAACCAGACCCAGCCCTTTATCTCCCACTCCATCGTCTTCCCCGCGGCGGCTCTCTCGACTTTCCACCGCACGCTCTCTCCATACTCATCGCCGGCAAATATAACCCCTCCTTGGCGGGTGAAAGGACGGTAGGCGCTGGAGTAGCGGTCTTTGAACCAAGACTTGGGGTTAAGCAACTCAAACTTGGAAGGCTTGGACGAGAAGACTTCCTTGCCATCCACGCTATCGTGAAGGAACCAGTTCAAATTAGCACTGTAGCCGTACACTGATTGCTCGAATTTCCAGGGCTTCAGACTGACGGTGGTGGATTCGCCGGCTGATACTTTTAAACCCATGTAGGGATTAGGAGGCTCAAAGGAGGCTTCAATGCTCTTGTCTATGCCAATCTCCCTTCGAGGGTTCTCTGATGATTTTGCAACTGAAACGCTGAGCACTTGGTTTTGCAGTGTGGGTGTCAGCTGCAGAAATATTCTCGAGGGAAAATGTTTCTCGTCTGCTCCTGCGCCTCGTTCTCTCATCAGAGTCTCGTTCACCAGTTTCACCACGTCGCACCTGCCAACGAAAATTTAGTACCAGAAAAAAAAAAATCAACATTCTTATTGGATAAAATTCACCTTAAAAGCATTTTTTGTCTTCTCTCATATTTAGAAGATCTCTTCAGCCCACAAATTATTTTATCTAAATAACAAGATACTGAGAAGAATTTGTCCCGATTTGATTCATTAGCTTTGCTGATATCGGAGCATGCATGGGTAATGTTGAGTACCTTATGTTGTCGATGTTGACCATGATCTCAACCCACTTGTCTTTGAGTATGACTCTGTAGTTGAACTGGAAAACACCTTCGAGTTGGTGATATTTGAGAGAGAATTTAAGTCTCTCATCATCTGCTGGATAGTTGTTTGAACTCTCGACGTCCATGCTTATGACAGGACAATACAACTGAACTTTCCATAACCCAGACGTCGAGAGAGAATAGGAAAACAGAGGAGATGGTGTTCTAAACGAGCCGTGATACTGATGTGCTGCTTGCAGTTCCGCAATCCAATTACTAATGGCCAGGTTCAAAGATCGCATCCACTGTTCTTCCAAGTTTGACCCCAACAGTTTCATCAGCGACTTGGAAGCTTGTCTTGACTCACAATTTGTCAAGTGCCGTTTGATAGTGCTAAGACACCCGGAACGAAGATCTGAAGGAGCTTCGTATATGCAAACTAGGAACAAAAGAGTGAGAAATGCAAGATTGAAAATGTCCGGGAATTTTGAGATGGAATCGACGTTGACGAATTTCATGAAGGAGCTGTGCTGGCTGGGGCCATAAAGGAGGACGTCCTGGATGATATTGACGAGGAGTTTGGAAATGGTCACATCGTCTCCCAGCTTGATGGCCTTGATAGGTTTTGAAGTCCAGAGGGAAATAGGGATGCTGAAGTCGGCAATAAGATTGGCGAAACACAGGTTTGGGGACTGGGGATTTTTGGAAACGGTAAGACAGAGGGATGGTTGGGACGATGAGATTGAAGAACATATGGACATGGAGAAGGAGTCTGCGGTCCATTGTGAGAGAGGCGGAAGGGTACGAATCCAGCGAAACACATCAGGAAAGCTGCAATGAGCCATGAAGAAGAAGCTTCCCAAGATGGATTGGGGGCAGTATGGGTGGGCTATACATAATATAGTGTCTGTCCATGTAATGGGTAAAAAAGCAGAGATTCGGGTGGGGAAAGAAAAGTCAAAAGTTAAACATTTGATTACGACGACGATTGGCATGTGATGGAAGCAAAGGTAGTTCTACAAGAAAACTGGTCGCTGACGTTTCTTCGCCTGCTGGAACTCCCATCCAGGGGGGGAAAAAAAATCCCTACTGCCCACACGAAAGATGAAATTAATAATTGATGCACCAAGTATATATTCTGCGGCAGGTATATATCCTGGAGTAGATCTGACGGGGTTCATGTGAATAAAAAGTGAATTACAATGAAATCATAGGCAAGAAAAACAATTGAAAAACAAGTATCAGAGATTGTTATTTTCATTTTGTCAGGTTGTTAAAATTGTTATTTAGACTTTTTAATAATTATTTTTCTATTATGGGATTTGATTGTAATTTTTTTTTAAATAAAAGGCATCACAGGAAGGGATTAATTAAAAGGAATATATGAGGAGCAGTAAGAATTCGGAACACGGGCTGCGAACTAGAAAAAGAAATACAGGACGGAAAAGATTAAAGATATGAGGTTGGAACAAGTAATATAGATGAGGACGCAAGCACATTGTGAATAATTGACTGCTTTAAATGATACCTTGACAAAACCAGCAAATGCACCTCTATAACATATTCGCGGCTACTCTTCCTTGTTTTTGCCAAACTCTTCCCGTCAGTTTTATACAAAACTATTTTACTGAAAGTAACCAGATCATCAAAATACTTAAAAAATGAAATTTGTTTTAGATTAACCTCTACTTAAAACATAAATTTAAAAAAAATCTTAAAACGCCCCAAATAAAATGATTGAAACAAAAGTTAAGTAATATTCCACTTTTTATATGCACAAGTGAATAATACACAGAGATGTCAAAAATTTCTAGAAGATCACTCGTATACAGGAACGAAGGGAGCGCACGTGTGCGCGTTTAGGAGGATGAGACCTCAGAATAAGGTGCTTCCCCTTATGATCCTCTCTCCCTTCCCCCTCACAAAAGCAATTAGCAATAGATGCTCTTAATTAATTAAATGCTCCGACGTATGCACTGCCTAATATTACTCATTTTCCTTTGCGTGACCAATATAATAATGATACTACATTGTTTTTTCAGTTTGGCATGGATGACCTCACTAACCCCGGTGAACATAATACACTTGCTTATCTCTGTTACTCCTCCGATCCTTAATATAAGACTCATTTAACTAATTTGATTGGATTAAGAAAGTCAGGTAAGTTAGTTAATTATAAGAAAAATGACACATTTTTCCTAAAACACCATAATCATCTTTATTAATACCCTCTCTCCCTCTTCTACTTGATTGTGGTTGAAGGAGTATCCATAGAGGTAATTTAGAAAAAATTGATAAATATGATAAATGAGTCTTATATTTAAGAACAAAACCAATTCAAGAATTGAGTCCTATATTAAAGATCGGAGGAGTACTATTTATCTATATTTTCCCAATGCATGTGGAAAAACTTTAAACGACAATTAAAATGAAGCGAAGGGAACCATACTTATACTAACTAATCATCATTCCTAGTCCATCCAATCAATATTTTAATTTATGTTTATATTTCATATATGTATTTATAAAATGCAAAATAAATCGTAATATTTATAGACTGCCATCGGCTATGTAATGCTGAGGCAATTAATTATGTTAAGGAGGTGGGAGGACATCATTCCGGGAGCCCATGAGAAAGGGTAAATAAAGGAAAAGGGGCAGGGATATAAAATATTTAATGAGATGTGATTAAATCATCATCCTCGATTCTGTTTTGGGTAAATGATTGCGCTAATTGGTTTGCCCGTCCTAAATATTTTTTAGAGGTCCCCTCTAAAATCCGTTGCTTTCCATGGCCTAGCAAACGAAAAAAGGATACACAGATTCTTTTCTTATTGAAAACGTGAATTTTTTTTTTGGTTGCCCACCCAGTTCACCAGAGCTTGTCCTGACTACGTCCAGATCCGACCCGCGTCGCGCATCTAGATATGGTGAGTGAGTCTCCCAGCAGGGGTTTTCTACATCCATGAGGAATCGAATTCGAGACCTCACTTTTGAAAACGTGAATTAATCCCGTGCACACAACCAATCAACCATGCCCTAATGGTAATTAACGCGTCGCGAATCCCAAGTTCATCAGCCCCGTTCTAATCTTATCTGCTTTTGGCCCCATATTTGAGTGAGGTCACTTCATTTCATAACTTGTCCAAAAAGTAATACCTCCACTCTTAGCTTAAAAAGTGTTTAAATGATCTCAATTAAAATTTAAATAATTTGAATTCTGAATTCTTTAAGAAAACTATAAACAGATTACTATGTTCGTAACAGATTTCTTAGTCTGATGGACATTACAACATTGCTTTTACTGTGTTTTTACTCATTCCAAATACAATTAAAAAATAAAAGTTCGATCCACTCAAATCAAATGTCAACTTTTTTTTTTTGGGCCAGAAAAATCAAATATGAACTGTAAAATCTAGGCAAGGGGAATCATCCCACAGTCAACATTTACATTCAGAAAAGGAAAGAGGGAACTAGAGGGAGGATGCTGTGTCCCAGAGCTGATACGTGATGAAATACTCTCGTTCGGAAAGCCAGACAGGGAGCCATCGGAATCCAAAAAGAAAAAGTGATCATGAATAGTCAAAGAGCGAGATTAAACGTTAAAGACGAAAGATGAGCCTTTATGGATTGTTATCTACGATAGAGGCATTTCTAACCTTCAACACCTGACATGACAACCAATCAAACAAAAATCTACAATGCAACATGAACATACCGAAAGCAAAAAATTTTACAGCCGGAGTGTATATTAGCTCATGTCTCTTGAATATGCAGACGTTTCTTCCGCAAGCTTCTCCCACACAGCTCCCATCTTCTCTGCATACCCCGCCTGTAAAATGCATCTAGTAATTTCAACCGCGAATGACCATGTAAAAATACAAAAAGGCAGCTCAACTTTTAATAAAAAATCATTTCAACATCCCCGTGATGCCCGGGAACACGCCTGGTTCACACCAGTTTTACACCATTCAAAAAATAACGTCATCCATCATCTTTCAATAAATCAATAGGCAAGAAAATTATGGTATGCAGCTGTTAAAATCTCGCATAAAAATAAACATAGGCTTACCTGATTGATAACAAAACCCCGCAACATGCTCATGAAGTCATTATGTCTCTCTTGCTCAACTCTTTCAAGTTCGCTCCTATTATTTTTCTGCAAACATTCCACAGTCAAACCTGATATTTTGACAAACTCTTCCCGGATATTGAATTCGTAACGACGGTTCTACAAAGGTGAACTAGTTTGCAAGGCAAACAATATATAGGACATCGTGACTTCAAGGTTCTTGAACATACCAAAAAAAAAAAAACCGCAATCTTAACTTCAACATACAGATTAAACAAAGAGCTAGTGTACATTAAAAAAAGAAAAAGGACACGCGAAATAATTCAGCAATTTTACATTTATTTGAGCTCAGAATGACAGCATAATTCGAAATCAAGTATAAATCTGTTCCCAACTCTGCAAGTGAACCACTATTGTGATGTTGAGAGCCCAATGTAGCCCCTAAATCCTAATGAAACATTCATAACTAAATCAAATAAGAATGTTTGCACTAGTCTATTCTCGTACTTTCATAATAGACAACAAGAGAATCATGTGACAACTTGATAATATGATCATTTTCATAATTTTATTTCAGCTCATTGTGAATTTTCCATGGGGGCATAGGCAAGTTAATAGTAAAGCAAACATAAGAGTCAGCATCCGAGCGACAGTGTTATGGCTTGTTCTCCCCGATACTAATAATGAAAATAAGGCACTGGGGGACAAATTATGCGAGAAATCTTCAAAACTTGGTGCAATAGGATGTGACACTTGCGTATAATGTCAAACAAAGTATACAAAAGTCATTTCTTAATGTGGACATCTTAGTATTTATGGGGCAAGGCCTAAGCTTGCAGGAAAAGAGATGAGCTAAATGTGCATAGAGGGATTGTTGGGGTGTAATTTTTCTTTTTTTTTTTTGGGGGGGGGGGAGTTTGTGGAGGGAGTGAGACAATAAGAAAGACGTTACCTTTATCCGCTCATACTCTCTATCCGCACATAATTTAGCATTTTCAGTAACTCTGATGGCTTCTTTTAATTCTTCTACTTTTCGCAGCCTAGACTTATCTCCACCAAATATTTTGGATGAAGCAGCTTCAAGCTTCTCGATCCGTGAATTTAAAGA